TATTGTCTAATTATCAAAGGAAGCAGGAAAAGGTATCAACATGAGGGCCATGGGAAGTGCAGTAAGAACTAAAACTAAATTAAAAAAATCTGTGTTGGCTACATAAGAACACAGAACCACACTGATTAATTACAAAAAGACACGTGATACTGTTCTTAAAGAAAGAAACTTTCCATTTCTTAGTTCTGAGCTGTACCAGTGATAAAGATGTAAATGGTCTTGGAGCACCCTGTCAGTGCTAGACTAGAATACTGATGTGCATGGAAGGGGACCACTCTGGTCCCACTAGCACCATCTCAACCCTGTCCTAGAGGGAAACTCTGCTCTGCAGAGATTATGGGGGATTCAGCAGCCTTCTGGGCCTAAGCTGAGTTGCTCTTGAGCAGACAGGGCCAGGGCACCACTGAAGGAGAGTGGTTGTGATACAAATGAACACCTGCTCAGAAAACAGACAAAAATATTAAATTCCCTAAGGAGTTCAGTTTGGCTGTAGAGGGGCCATCTCCACCTTGCTCTGGCAAAGCAAACATCAAGCCCAAACAGCTCTTGCTTTTTAGGTAAAATTGTAAGTCCATAATGCAGGTCTTAATGTTGTCAGGACAACAGTGCAAGGCCACTGGAATATGTGGTGTTATTTCAGCCAGACTTGCACACACAGCATGCATGGGACAGAGGACACCTCCTGCCTATATCCAGTGTCTGATCATCACTTGAAATACTTCACTTAGAAGAAGCAAGTGGCTAAAGCAACCACCAGAAATGGTTAGCCAGAGCCACTGGAGCAAGGTCAAACCAATCCAATCCAGACTCCTGCCTTTGGCATCAGGAGCATTCTTCTTTTCATTATGGTTTCTTAAACTCTGAAATTTTAAGGACAGTCATGTTCAGTCTACACAACACCACATGTGAGCCTGCCTTAAGGGGCAGGCACCTGATTAAGGCTTTCACAAAAAAATCATCACGTTAAGCAGATCTGATAACAGCAATATGGCTACTACATGAACAGAAATTATGTTTCAACCACAGTTCTGGAGTAATTTATTCTGATAGATTCAAACATACTATGTACTGACCCATAGAGTGGCACACAGGTAAAATAGTCAACTAAAAAAATAGTCCAAAAAGCACACTCCACTCCCAGCTAAAACACTTGCTAACATACCTTAAGTTCCTATAGACTCCTTTAGCTTATATGAGAGTTAAAAAAAAGGCTATTGTGTCACAGACTGATGGACACCCAACCCTGCTCTTCAATATACAAAGTTTATATAGAGTGACTGTAGCAGAAAGTTTTGCTCACTAATTCATCTGTCCATTAAAAATTTGTAGTTGGCCTGGTATCAAGGGACTTATCTACATAAAAGTATAAAGAGGAACTCTTCTTGCATTACATTTAAAATAGCTTTGCTAGTAATAGGTCAGCATTTGTTGCAAGTCTTTCAAAGCTCACCTAGACTTTACATACAACACAGGTGGTGTCTATCCATTTCTAGTGTATGGACACAGTTCCCTTCCACAGAGTTCAGGAGGACTCGTACTGCAGAACAGCCATCAGGTGAGACCTACCGAACAGTGACATTTATACCACAGAACTAGATGAGTGATCCTATTAATATTTAACGTTAAATAATTAATAGGACTCCTCAAGATCCATCTTTTTTTGCTCTGCAGGCACTAAGGAATATGTGTTACAGTCTAGTTCCTTATTTTCATTCCTTCTCTGTAGCTCTAAAGGCTGCAGAAGCCAAAAAGACTCACTGATAGCATTTTTTCCCTATGGTTAAAGGCAGACAGACCAGAAGCCAGAGCAAGTGGATGAGGGAGAAGTGGAAGTGCCAAAGTTTGTCTTACACTGTACCCTCAGGTTTCTTACAGCATAAAACTGGATTGCACTAATCCTCCCCATCCTGAGAGGATGCTGTCATTTGTTAGGAAGGAAGCAAAGCTTTGTATTGGAGTGATTCATCTTGTTACAAAGCTAGGGGGAGCAAGAGCAAGAGGGTGGGAATTGGATGGTCCTTTTTCCAGTTTCTTGCACTATCTGCTAAACTGGAGAGACAGAAACAGTAAGGAGCAGGAATTCTGTCACACAGAGAAACATAGTAAAGGCTTGAAATAGTAAGCCTAGTAGAGGGCACTTGTCTGCTCCTGTGTCCATTTTGAGAAGTTATCAACATTAGATACATGCAAAGAATTAAATGCCTCCTAACATACATAATTGTGTAACTAAATTTTGAAAAGGATGTTCTTGTCTGGCTGCAGCTGAGGATTAAGAGACCTTGAACTCTACCTGTCATTCATTTCTTAAACATCCACTTCCTTTGGTTTTCTAAGCTATTGGCCTAAGTTACATCCTGCAGGAAAGCACTTAATTACAAAGTCAAACAAAGCATTTTGTTTTAAGCCATTCTGCCCTGGTGATCTAACACTGTTCTCAAGAAAGCATCATTAACTTGCAGCCAACTCCTCACTTGCCACATCTGTTTTGAAGTCTTCCTCCCCCCAACACATTTCCTCTCCATCTAAAAAGGCTCAAGTCTGTCCAGCTATTGAATGTTCTCCGTATGAAGCTGCTAATTATTCTCAAGAGCTTTCCATTAACTCTGAATTAACTAACCAATCAACTAACCAAAGTCATGCTGAGGATGCATCCTAGTCATCTTTTTAATTTTTTTTTAAATCCTGGATTTCATCCACTTTAATAAAACCTGACATTCAGTTTCCCTTGCTGAATGTTGCTTGTATTCAACATATGATTCACAGTGGCACCTGAACTTTTAGTCTACTGCATAGCAAACACTCTGCAAAGGCAGTTTGTGACTTTCAAGTGACCCAAATTATTTACAGGTAACTGTGGTACCTTTACAGCTAACTTAACTATTAGCATCCAGACACTAAATGTGTTACTTTACAGCCACACAAAAATGACCAGAGGACACATTCAGATGTGTGCTTGGCTTGCTACTGCTGTTAATTTCAATTGTTGCATGTAGCTGGAGTGTAAGGAAGGGGACAGGTGATGAAGTGTACCATGGAAACTGACATCCTCTTCTGGATTAACCTTATCTTTGCTCAACAGCAAGTTCTGCCACCTTCTTATGGATTGTTCTCCTGGTTGTGCAGCATAGCAGAAAAGTACAGACTACAAAGAGAGCTTGAAAGGACAGACTGCTGTGGTATGGATATGCCTTGCAAGTTACATCACAGTTCAGGATGTACAACTAGGAACCTGTAAGGCCTCAGTTAAATCGCCTGTGGGCGGTGCTTCGAGGATTAACACTGCTTTAACTCGACAGGAGCTGATTTGTTTGGGGTTAAGAACCCATCCTCTGCCACCAAAATAGCTCTGCTTATTATCAGGATGTGGCACAGCAATACTGCAACAAAAACCTCCACTGATAGAGCTAAATTTCATCTTGTTTCTAACAAGTTCACAGAATAGAATAAGCCTGGTTCTAACAAAATTAAAGATGTGATATTTCCGAAAGTTTAGCTCCTTGTCAGTGGTGTGATAAAACAAGACTGTTTCTCCCAAGGATACTCCCACTCCCAAGCTCAATTTTTACATCCCTGAGATCCATGCATCCAAATCACTTCAAGACCATGCTGTTCTGACTTCTGGAAACCTCACTGTTCCCAGGCCCCAGGGCTCAAAGAGCGGTCTGACAACACTCCAGATTTCTGACAAGCGTTACACTGGTTAATCAGTAGTGCAATATTCCCCCAAAAGAAGTGTAGGAAGAGTCAAGGCTGTTAAGGCAGAAAGGCCCAACCCAGCCCTTCAGGGAAGGTTAGCATAAGCGGTGCTGTTACATGCTGCAGCTATCCAAAGAGGCAGAACACAAGCAGAGCTCTGGCACTGGGGTAGGGAACTGCTTTCACGAGGCTCCTGGCTGAGCTGTCAGGAAAGCAGGTATAATCTCCTCGAGCAAGGCTTCTCACCAACAGGTGTGTGTAACTCTAGCACTAACACTACAGTGAGGAAGAAGTAAGACCCTTGTGGAAAGGAAAAATGGTTGCAAAACCTGTTCACATCATCAAATCCTTCGTTAAGTATTTACTCCTGAAACTCATACCTCAGTGACTGACATGCCTTCCACAAGCTTTCACAGCAGCAGCCACGAGAAGTTAACAGCGAGAAGGCTGATGAAGAGATGACTCTAACTTCAGGCTCCTCACCAGCCCCTGCCTGCCCCATCTGCATTGCTGGGACAACTGAAGTGTCTGTGCCTGTTTTCATATGGCAATGGCATAGGCATATCCTGACCCAGTGAACCACAAAAGGACTTACAGCAACTGTTCACCAGCATCGCAGTGAGTAAAGAAGTTCATCATCCCACTGTCTACCCCCTCAGAGACAATGAAATGTTTTGAAATAGGCAGGACTAAACATACAAGATGTGGTTTTTTCGGGATAAGAGGACTTTGTATGATCAATAAATCAGGCTTAGCAAATTCAGACCGGTCTCTCACACGAGCAATGCTAAACAAAATGTTCATAGCGACAAAACCAGGAGTTTTTGCACAAGATTCGGGGGCCATCCCATTCCAGCATCGCTTCTCCTTCAGCCCTGCAGGCCTTGCATGGGTTGAAGACTTCTATGCAGACAGGGAAGAAATACTGTTGACGAAATGCTTCATCTACTTGCTGTCAATGCAAAAAAATTGATAGCAAGTCCACTGACCCCACTCACTTCATATTCTTCCTGAGCAAACTCCCATCAATGTACAGATTTTTTTTCTTTTTTCTTTTTTTTTTTTTAAAAAATACTTAGTGAATTAAGATGGACACCTCTCCCAGAAACAGGCAGGCAAATCCTCTGGGACCCATGGGATCCAGCTCTGGGACTGGCCCACTAATAAGTACCTGGGAAAATCAGCACTCTCTTTTGCTCCCACTCCCTCATCCCCTTTGTCAGAATCACTGCAGGGGGATCCAGGTCCCAGCTGTGGCCAGCAAGAAGTCCAAGGAGCTAGACACACACAAGGCACAGCTCTCTTCACACGCGGATCTGGTACCCATTGAGGTCTGGCATGGCTTTGGAATCAGCAGGCTTCTTCTCACCAGATGGCCTATGAGGAAAGAGGGTAACAACTCTTCAGAAACAGTTTTTTCAGTCAGGAGGTGCTGCACACAGAGGTGGCAGCACAGGAAAAAATACAGGAAAGCATCAGACTGATCCTGCACTATTGAGGGCAGGACTGTTCTGCAACCTCTAGTAACTCTCCCAACTATCTCAACAGAAGAGAATGCAAATTAGGAAGAGTAGGAAGTCCACTCAGGAGCCTCAGATTAGTTTCAGGAAAACAATCTTACTGACAGCAGTGTAATTTTTGGAATCTCTTTGAGGAATGGGTCTGTGAGACCAGAGCTCAGAGCCCTGTGTAAGGTTAAATGTCAGCTACTGAGATCACTGTCTGAGCTGCCTTCCTCCTCCCTGCCAAAACAAAAAAAAAACCAAACCAGCTGTCCCCTCAATTCCCTAGGCAACGATAAACTCACAAAGGCACAGACCAGGGAAGAATGCTACTGCAGGTCAGAGAAGCATCCACTGCTCTAAAGAAACCCAGTAGGACATCAGAAGGATCCAAAACCATACAGCAAGGTGGCGTCTGTGAGTAAAAGAGAGATGCAGATAGGTCTCCTGCCCAGCAGCCCCACTTACCGTCGGTCCCCACGGCTGTTGCGTCGATGGGGGCTGGCCTGACCTCTTTGTGGAGAGGAGACATCTTTCTTTCTGTCCTTGGTGGGAGATGGTGGTCCAGTTCCTTTCCCGATCTGCCAGAAAGATCAAAGTAAGAACATGAGCAGCAAACCAATACGAGCTGTAACACAAACCACACAGACTAACAATGACTTATGATATGGGAATAAAAGACAAAAAGGCAAGAGAAGTTCATAAAAAATGCAAAAGCCAGAAAAACAAGCTACAGTGTCAGCTATGGCTCCAAGGCCTGCACACAGTCTGAGATGATCGTAACTGCAGCACTGCACGAGCATCCATTGGGGACCAGCCTGTACAGACAGGCAAAGAGGCCCCAGCCTCCAATTCACCCTCTACTCATCACCTACTCTATATCACCACCTAGAAGAGCCTCCTGTCACTTCGTTTCCCCCAGAACACCAGCAGCCAGGCAAAATAAGAGAATGCAGCAGTGAACTAATCCATCCTCGTTGCTTACCTTCAGTCTCATGTCACGGGCATGTCTCTCAAGCTCTTTGCGAAAGTCTTCCCGGGTTAGCTTGTCTAGATCCAGGATGGAGTGCTTCCATTCGATCTGCTCCACACTGTGTGGGTCATGGGACACACAGTGGCCCAGCTTCACCTTTTTGAGCGTGTGCCAGCAGCGGCGATATGCCTCCTCGAAGTCAAAGATGAGTTCGCTCAGTGTGCGGAAGACAGGTGCTTTGTACATGAGCTCCTCACGTCGGCTGATGCCCAGTGCCCCATAGCGGCCTCCGAAGTTCACCCCCAGCACGATGTGTCGGAAGTAGTTCCCTGAGAAGTGGCTTTTGAAGCTGATGGGGAAACGGTCCAGTGTGGTCATGTTGTTGGTGAGGTAACTGACAGCAGCCACTATTCAGGAAACAACCGCTGATACCAGTTTCTTGACAAGATACTTCCTCCCTGTTCCAGACCCTCTCAGCCTGCTCAGCACTCACCATTGATACAGGCATCACACGGGCAGGATTTTTTCTCCAGATCAAGAGTCCAGCACATTGCAGGCTGCCCTACTTTCATCTGCATTATGGGGAAAACAGACTTGGCCTCTCCAAGGAGACAGTCAACAAAGGGAAGCTAATTTTGAGGCAGTTTTGTGATGCAGAAATTGCAATGCTAACACCTCAAGTGTACTGTATTCCATAGCTCCCAAACTGTTAATGCTGTAGCATTATTCTTCAGTTTGTTTTAATCTGTTTCACTAGCTGCTATTTCACATGCAAACCAAGGAGCCTTCAGGACCAAAAACTCATCAGACTACCCTTCTGAACCATTCACTCACCATCTCTGCCCCTCCTGGCAGCTTTACCAATGTGCATGAAGAAAACTATAGCCTGAGTGACACAAAATTAACCCGGACAATAGCTAGGAATGATGTGCACTTAAAGATGACACATGTCTAGATTTAATAAAGGTATTGTCTAAGCTAACAAGTGACGTACACCATAATTAGAAGTTGAGGAGGATCCCTAACTTCTTTTAATGTAGAACATATGCAGGCAGTAAGGGAACAATGGTATCCACAAAGAATTTCCTGACGTAACTCTAGCTAATGTTTGTGTCTCTCTTTAGATTTTCCTTTATCCTTTACTGTCTTGTAGAATTGACCGGAGCAGCACCACCCTTTTTGGTGGAACAACTCCAAAGAACTAGTTCTGATATTTCAGAGAATTGCAAAGATTTGGATTTTATTGGTGGGGTTTTGTGGGAGAACTGGGGAGGGGAAAAGAAGGAGTGTGGGGCTTGGTGACACTACTATCATCAGCCTCAAAGCATCGTAAGAGAGCAGAGGCGAAAATACAAGGATAGGCAGACATGCACAACTGCAAGAGGAAAGGATACATTCCCAGGATCACAGCTTCCAGGCATTTTATTGGCAGGGCCTCTTTGGTCATTTCTTTGGCTAGGTCCATCAGCCTGCAGAGTAGGACAAGGGAAAGACGAGGACGGTTAGAGGGCTTGTGCTATGCAAGTATGGCCAGTTCAGCCCTCTTGCACTCTCTATATATGATAGGTTTCCAGGAGAGAGGGTGGTCCACGGAGGACAGGGAACACAACAAGATATCTTCATTGGGAAGATAGTAAATCCAAACCAGTTCTCTGCCACACACTGTTGTTGCTTACAAGGCACTCCCTTCAGTGAGTTACAGCAAAGCTGCCTACTAGACAAACCCCTGTTGTCAGAGAGACCACACCACTTGGCTCAGTGAGTTCTGGATGGACACCAATGTGACCACAAGTAAAACCCTCAAAGGACCAAGAGCCAGCAGTGTTTGCCTCATGAGGCTCAAGGACAGCGAAGCCTTTTTCTCTGGCATCAACATGAGTCTCCATCCAATGAGTACCATGGAGGAGACATTGCACTGACTACAAAATAAGGCATTTGGAGTCATGTAGGTTTATGGCCTAGACCAATAGTAAGAAGCCAGTCTTTGGAGACTCTCTGTTCAAGAGAGTAAATGAACATCAGGTGCTTGATCTCAGGAACTTATGGGGCACAGTTCTTCCCCAAATCTGCAGTAAGGAGAGTCCCCCTTCTCATTCAAAGTATGACACCAGAAGCTTAGTGAGCCTAGATTCTGCAAAGGCACTCACAGGAGCGATGAAATTAGACCTGTAAAGATACTTGGCTTTTACAAAACTTGTTTAGAGCAGGATCTGATTTCAGAATCCCTCAGAATTTCATATAGTTACGTTCCAATTAGAAGCAGGCAGAATCTGCATATCTTTGCAATATGTTTTTGTTATTTTACTGGATTTACTGATTCATGACAATAAAACCCTACTCTTGTTCTTGAGAAAGACCAGACACAGCTCTGCCCAGATGTACTCCAGGCAACAGACAGTTACCTAAAGTAGGATGGAGGGGCAGTACTGAAAACCCTGAGTGCCACTAGACCTTGGGCAAGGGATGGAAGCAAAAGCAGTGGTTATAGCCAGGCCCCAACAACAAAGAAAGGATTAAATGCTGTACAGGCTGCCAGCACTTACCCAGTCAGAGGTCTGCTCTTCTTAATCTCAAAGAATTGTGTCCCAGTGTGATTGTACCTGGAGGCAAGAAGTTAAGGACTTGGCAGCTTTGAAAGTACTTTGAAGAAAACCTGTCTGAAGAAGTTTCATGTTATTTACTATTCTCACAGCAAAGTCATGATCCCACAAATATAACAGCAACGCAAGAAAATCCCCACCTCCTCCTCCCATTTCTAGTCCCTCCTTACTTCCACTGTTTCCTTCTTGTCAATTCTTCTCTTTCTCATACCAACACACAGGTTTCCACTCTATTTCCCAAAGGTCCATGCTGACAGCACACGCTCTGCTCAGCTTTCCAGTTACCACAGCAGAATAAGGTTTGATAAATCTCTTCCTGCTCTGATCTGCACAGAACACATGGAGCAACAAAACATTCATGGTACCTTACTCTAAGATAGACTGGGACCCAGTCTAGAGCACAACCACCCTGTATGGGTGAGAGGTGCCAAAAGGTCTGCCTTCTTATCTTCATTCAGGGATAAAGCCAGAGCTAGATCTGTATCTCGTCAGTGAGATTAGGCTGAGTTTGCACGGCATATACCTGCTCTCCAGCACAACAGGGATGGAGAAATCTCATTCCCAGAATACAGTCATACAGGCAGCTCTGCATATAAAGGGGCACAATATCACAGATGCACAAAAGGAGGGTGGCTGAGTGTTGTTTAGACAGCTACAGAGAAGAGCAGGATGACCTGAGGGTTTTCTCATCACTGCAGCTCACCCATGCCTTAACAGTGAGGTGATGCAGTTTGCAGTCCGAGACCTTGCTGCCAGGATCTCAGACAGGTGTGTTTATAACAAAATGCCACTGTAAAGCCGCTGACCTAGAAAGGTGGTTAGTGGGGAAAGGCCCTTGATGACATGCCCCTGTGTTACATGGAGTGAACAGAATCAGAAGGTAACTTGGGTAGAAAAGAAACAGAGCAGCAAAACAAAACATTGTTTCAAGTCCAGCTTCCTGTTTTCAGAGAGCAAGTTTCAGTTCTCCTCCAGCTACAACAGAAGGGAGTTTTTTTGTTCTTCACAGGGAAAGAAAGTCCCCTTGCTCCTGTTTCCTGGGTTATCACACCAGTGACTAAGGTAACAGCAAGGATACTGAAGCTCCCTGATGTAGCGCTGTACAGCCTCCAGGCGCTCAGGGATAGGGGTGGATGGCTGGAATGCAGGCACACTTGGTATGGGAATCTGAAATGAGGAGCAGAACATAAATCACTGATTCCAAACCTTTCTAGAGTCTTGCTGAACTCACTGGCATATAGCTATAGGGAGCATGTTCCTCTGAAACCAGACCTTTTTTGCTGCCCACAGTGACCACACCAGAAACATTCCTCCATTTCCACACTGGTAACTGGGAAGGGATTCAGAATGAAGTATCACTACAGAGCTGCAAGAAAAATTATGTGAAAAGGTCCTGCACTTAAGCAATGTTACATTGAAAGAATTAGATAAAATTAACTGACAAGGCAAGATGCAAGACAGGAAAGCTATCACCTGAGTGAGCTTGGCCTCATTTGAGCATTGAAACTGAAAGGCATGAAAAAAAATAATGAGAGAAAAAGGCAAAAATGGAGAATGAGTTTCCCCCAAAACCACCAGAGGGTGAAACAGTCCTGAAAACAAGTCCCTCACTGCCTCTTGGCATCTCAGGTGAGTTGGCACTGACTAGGACACAAGCTTGACAGCATGGTTCCCTGCCCTGCAGTGCCCGGTGTTTCGAATTCGTGGTCAGAGAATGACTTCTGGAAGTTCACCGTTCAGACTGCTGTCCCATTCTGAGTGCTTAGCCTTATGTGTCCAAGCAGATTTTCTTCACCATTTGCTTCACAGGGGATAACTGCAGCCTTGTCAGCAGCTGAGAAAATGTGTCTAAGGATAGAGAAGGGTCCTGTCCACATATAAAGGAGAAGACACAAATTTGGGATGACTGACAGCCCAATAGTTTGTCTCTGAACGACAGTTTATGCCTTGCATGCACCTTTCTGATACCAGACTGCAGCTAGTTTGGTTTTTAACATCGCAGTTCCTCCTCAGACTTCCCCCAGAGCTGGGCTATCCACAGCTAAGAAGGAGTGAGTCAGAGCCAGTTCTTCCCTTGAGCCTTCCACTCTGCTGTGCACAACTGCCTCTGCTAGACATGGTTTTGTAGCCAGTGGCACTGCTTAGTGCACTCTCCATATGCATTCCTGTGGCCACTCACTTCCATATACCTCCTTCTTCTTGCCTGGGGTTGGCACAACTGACCAGGTCAGGCACCTGAAGCAGCTGAAAGCTGAGTCAGCAAGCATGGGTAGTTTTCAGTCAGATCAGTTCCCTGTCCTGGCTTGTCACATGGCTGCTCTCTGCTTGTGCCCCTCCACAGCACGGGACCGAAGGCCGCTTAACCTTGAGAGATGAGCTGTTGCACCCTCCTGTATCAAGTGGAGACACTGGTTGGCTCACTTGCAGAAGGCAGCACAGGAATGGCAGAAGCAGATGTGAAACTGGGTTTGTTCAGCTGCAGCAGGAGCAGGGAAGGCTCCAGAGAGCAGCACAGGAATGGAGCCATCTCTGGAACTGGCACGAGCTGAGTCAGTTTGGATGCTGTGAGCTGACATACTGAGTCATAGGAAATAATTTCCAGGCAGAAACAATGAAAGAGGTAACAACCAGGACAGGCTGACTATTTAACTTTATTTCATTTCTTCAGTGTGGAGACTTTCATGCTTTTGAGTAGAGACAGACAGATTAAGTGCATGTTGACAGCATAGACTAATCATTCCAGGTGACACTAATTCTCAATTCTAAAGACTCCTTCCTTTCCTAGTACAGACCCCCAGATCCCCTTTTCCTCAAACGACTGTGCAACACTGAGACAGCATAATGGCAACCAGTTCAGGAGGGGACTAGTTAATGCAGAAGAGCCTCCTGCACCTCAAGTAATTAAACTGATGAAAGTACGCTATGCTCTCTCTCTCTCTCAGATCTGGGCCTGCAGCCCAGACTGGGCTACAGTTTCTTTTGCATCAGGTCTATAGCATTTTAATGGGGCAACAGAAGCAGGAGGAGAGGAATAAGGTCTCCATCCCTCAATCCCATACTGACAGGATGAGAGACACTTACACTTTTTTCTTACCCAGCATCATCCACTCCACATCTCAGAAGGGCTATAAATATTTGGCAGTTTTCAGAATCCTTCAGAAAGCAGAGAGGAATTTATTTTAACAGAAAAGATAGGAAATCAGATCTATTTTGATTTCTCTTTAGTTATTCTGAAAGCTGGAGAGAGAGCTAGGAAGAGAGCCCAGATTTCCCAGAGTATATAACCTCTGCCAGACTTAGCAGACTGAATGAATGAACACATCCTTGGCCCCTCATCGCTTGTGTGGGGGGGTTGTGTGACCCCACTCTTAGCTTCATGCACCCTGGCAGGATGGCTATGTGCATGGGATTGGGACTCTGCTTTTACAAAGAGAATCTCAAGAACAGAAATTTTATGTACTAAGTGGGCCATGCAGTACATGAGAAAAGGCAAACGGAGCGAGGCACAAAGCTCCACCCTTAGTGGTATCACAGAGGCTTTTTCGACCAGCCTAGTTCAGCAACAGGGTTTTTTTTATGGTACTTATATGTATTCAAGCACCTCCCTACTCTTCCTTCTGCAAACAAAATGGGAGCAATACCAATCTTAATTGATGGCCTGACAAAATTGTCCATCTCTGTATGAATCCATTACATGCAACTCTTCCTGGCTTTGTCTTCATAACCACCTCATTTAAAATCCATCACTTCATAATGGCCATTTGATGGTTTCAGCAGCTCCAAGCAAAGCAATACCCTACACTGTTGCTAGAAACAAGATGATCTACAGAACTGTGGCACTCTCAAGCCTAGCATGCATGACCAATTAACTATGTCCTGCCGCAGTGGCATGGCTCACCTTGATGCCCACTTACCCCAAGTTTACTGGAAGGAAATGGAAACTAGAGGATACCTCTGAGCTCTTGCACCCCAATGAAAGATACAGCCCCTGAAGCTAATGTGTGAACATATTTATAAAGTCTGATCTCAGCCTCCTGAAGTCATCACTTTACAGTATTGTGGTTTATATACAACACTTTTGCGAGTTATTTCCCCCAACACCCAATGCTGGCTACGACGCAAGGCCAAAATTTCGGAGTAGGTGAATCACTGTCCCATTCCCAACACCTAAAGAGGACTATTTACCCATGGGGAGTACCTGGCTTTTCAAAGGAGCTAGCCTCACAGACTACGCTCATTGACCTAATTCTTATCTGTTGCACCAGCCATTCAAAGAAACTTGATGGCATGGAGACAGGCGGTGATAAGCAGCCCTCAAAGATAAAAATACATCCCTAGAGTCTAGAAGGAGCTTGGAAAACAGAGCTCATTGGTCCTTGTTGTCTCCTGCATCTCAGTATCCTCTTAGCTTTATGCCTGGTGAGCTTGGGAATGAGATCTCAGATGGTGGCGCATGGAACAGTTTATAGATCTGTTTCACAGGGGTGTTAGCGGATGCAAAACCCCCCAAAAATCCCAAAACATAACAGCCCAATTTCAACTGTTATTGCAAGAGCTCAGGCCACCCGTGTCCCCTAGCTGTAAGCCTTTGGCACTAATACTATAAAGTGACAACAGTGGAAGTTATTAATTTAAGACCAAAACCAGAGACTTAACACTGTATTTCCCTCACCTCATGTACTGGACTCTTGTTTGTTAACTTCCTTCTTCCACTTCCCTGGCCTCTCCTGGTCCAAATCAGCCCTTATGGCTAGGAAATTAATTTGTGTGTGTTCTGACTGATCGAAAATGCATTTTCAGCCTTCACCTAGGCTGAGGACAAAGTCAGAGGAAAGGAAGGAAATCTGTAAAGGAAGGAAAAATCTAATGGGGTTAGAAAAGGGACTGTAATCAGGACTTCGGATTTGTTCTGGTTGCTGCCACAGATGCCTATAACTGCACAAAGGCTGTTGCATCACATGCTTTTCCAGAGTTTCTCATGGAAAGCAAGCAGTATGGACTGCCTGTGAACTATATAATAGCATCTTCTTCCATACTTCAGATTACCTCCCCAAGGAGATGTCCTTGCCAAAGAATCCTGAGCCGAAAAGCTTCATCTTTTTGTATCTGAATTTCCTCTGTTAGCATGATGGGAATACTCTCATAACCTGTCAGGGGAGTGACATACCAAATGTTCGCAGTGTCTTTTGTTCACAGGATGCCAGTGAAAGGGGGAGATTTTTCTCCCGCTGAGGTGCAACACAGATAGCAACAATCACAAGAATTCACATGCAAATCTTTCAGTATGGCACAAGGTTAAGTGAAATGGTCAGCGGTTCCTCCTTTGGCACAGTTCTCTGCAGCAAGGCCAGGAACGTGCTTGGAAATCACATCTGATCCTACACCAGAAGTAAGCTCCGCAAGTCTTCGTTAACTCCTCTTAAACTCTTGGCATCGAGAGCCTCTTTTTTGACAGACACCGTTCTGTTTAAGAATGCTTCGTGGTGCGGGAGACTGTAGCCAAACCAAATTTCTTCAGGTTCAAAGCCTCATCTCTGCCTGTCTCAGCTACCCTCCCCCAAGTATTTGGGCTCTTCTAAATTTAACTCTCCTCATCTTTTCATCATTTATCCACTCTTCCTCTTTAGGCATTGCCCATCTGCCCCCCAGGCTGCCTGCACATGAGCCACCCGAAGTCTGTTTTGCAGCAAGGCCGCGGAAGACGGGGATGCTGCTGGGGCACCAGGCAAGGCAGAGCCCCGCAGACAGCCTCCCGCACCCCGAGTCGGAGCGTGGCTTTGCCTCCCGCAGCAGCATCCC